ATCTTTTATGTTTGTTGAGGTTTGTTTTGTGCCACAGCATATGGTCAATTTTGGAGAAGGTTCCATGGGGTGCTGAGTAGAAAATATGTCCTTTGGTGCTTTGGTGGAATACTCGATAGATTTCTGTTAATTCCATTTGATATATGGTATTGTTTAATTCAGATGTCTCTCTGTTAACTCTCTGCCCTGTTGACCTATCTAATGGAGACAGTGTGGTACTGAAGTCCCCTACTATTAATGAGTTGGGATTAATCTGGGTCTTAAATTCCTGTAGTATTGTTTTTATGAAGTTGGGTGCACCAGAGTTTGGTGAATATATGTTCGTGATTGTAATATCTTCTTGATTTATTGTTCCTTTGACTGAAACGAAGTGTCCCTCTTTATCTCTTCTGATTAGTTTTAAAGTCTATTTTGTCAGATATTAGAATTGCTACACCTGCTTTTTCTTAGTACCATTTGCTTGGTTTATTTTTTTCCATCCTTCCACTTTAAGATAGTGTCTGTCCTTGAAAGTGAGATGGGTTTCTTATAGACAACAAAAAGATGGGTTTTGTCTCCTAATCCATTCAACTAGTTTGTGTCTTTTGACTGGGTAGTTTAATTCATTGATATTTAAAGTTGTTAATGAAAGATGTGTATTGATTCCTGTCATTTTTATTTCTGGGCACATTCTTGGTGTAGCTGTGTATTTCCATAGTTATACCTTCATTAAGTTTCTTTCTGTTACCCCTTGTGTATAGTCATTCCTTTCTTTAGAGCCTATTTATGTCATGGAAGATTTTTCTTTCCCCTTCAACTATAATAGACATTTTGGCTGGATATAGTAATCTGGGTTGGCATCTGTGGTCATTTAATACTGGGACTACTTTGGTCCAGGCTCTTCTGGCTTTCATAGCTTGCACTGAAAAGTCAGCTGTAATCCTAATGGGTTTTCCTTTATCTGTGACTTGTTGTTTCTCTTTCGCAGCTTTCAGTATTGTCTCTTTGTTTTGTACGTGTATTGTTTTTAATATGATGTGCTGTGGAGAGTTTCTTTTCTGGTCCTGTCTGTTTGGTGTTTTATATGCTTCTTGTATATGTATGGGCATGTCTTTTTTAATTTTGGGAAATTTTCTTCCACAATTCTGTTGCAGATCTGGTCCATGCTATTCTCTTGGGATTCTTCTCCTTCCTGTATGTCTATGATTCATAAGTTTTGTCTTTTTATAGTATCACAATTCCTGCTTATTCCATTCTTGTGCTTTCTTAAATTTTTTGTAATCTTTGCTTGAGTGGTCTAGTTTGTCCACTTTATCTTCCAGTCTTGATACTCTGTTTTCCATTTCATTCATCCTATTGGTGAGGCTTTCTCCTGTCGTTTCTAATTGGCTTGCTGAGTGTTTCACTTCCTTCTTCATTTCAGCCTGAGTATTCTTCAATATTTCTAACTTTTTTCTGAATTCATTCAGAAGTTTATCCCTATCTTCCTTCAGTTCTTTGATTTGTTTGTGTGTTCTTTTAATTCTGTGAATTCTTTTATCATGTTTATAATTGTTCTTTTGAGTTGCAAGTCCTGCATTATCTCTAGGAGGTTCTCATTGTACTCCTCTACAGGACTATTGGTATTTGGTAGGGATATATTATTTTGGTTTTTCATGTTATTATTTTTTCTCTATGATTTCCACATGTGAATTTCTTCTGTAGTTTCTGATCTTGTGTGAGACTCAGACCTTCAAGTTTAGGTCTGCTTCTTTTTGTGAACTTCATGTGTCTTTGTGGTTTACTTTTTGGGCATGAAGAGCTCATTCCTCTAAGCTTCCAGTTCTCTCTTTTTATTTTATATTGGAGTGGCCAGATTGCTTTTGTCTTCAGGCATTCCCACAGAGGCCCAAGTCAGATGAGGATCAGATGGTCTCAGCTTTTCTCCTAAGGTCTGGATCCCTCCAGGATAGATTTTGGCCTCAGGAATTTGGGGTTTGGACTGGCCTGGGAGCAGTGCGCAGGAAAGATGCTGGTCTTGGGCAGCTGGGGGCAGTGCCACCAAGAGATGGAAAGGAAGATGGGGGTGGGAGGTGGCCTTAAGGTCCCCTGGGAACTGCACTGAGGAGCTGGGTTGGTCTGAATGCAAAGGACCTGGAAGAAGGAAGTTCAGCCCCAGCATCCAGGAAAGAGGCTGCTGGGTGGTGCAGATCCAGGCAGGCAGATGGGAGTGAGGGTGGGGCCAGGCCCAGAGTGCTCCTGGGAACCTGAGAAGGAACTGAGTTGGTCTGGATGCAAAGGATCAGGCAGCAGTGGTGGTTACCCAGGTGTCTCTGGCACCAAGACAAGGAATGGGACAGGACCCAGGCGAGGAGGAGAGACCGGCGGGGGAGATAGGACTCTGAATGAAGGTGGGGAGTCAAGGTGTGGAACTTGGAGAGAGAGACCTGCGGGTAGAAGAGAGGCCTGTGGGTTGTGAACACCCAGGGAAGCAGAGGGAGGTGCGTGTGTGTGTGTGTGTGGGGAAGCCTAGAAGCAGTGCTCCTGTGGACCTGGGAAGGAACTGAGTTGCTCTGGGTGCAAAGGATCAGGAAGCAGTAGTGGTTCCCCAGGTATCTGGGGGGCCAAGACAAGGAATGGGAAGCCTCCAAGCTAGGAGGAGGCCTGTGGGTCCAAATACATCCTTTATAGCTTGGACTGAGTTGTGTGTGAACTGGAGGACTGAGGCATTAACTTAAATATATATCTTCAAAATCAGTGCTGCTCACCTCAAAGGCCTCAAGACTATCTAAAGTTAGGTTTGAAATCAGTATTCATACTCTGCTTAGGAATGGATGTATAATGGCTGGGTAAATATGAATTCATATAAAGACATCGTTATGTGGTATTTGTATATATAATGTATATCATATAAATATTTGCTCAGGATTTTGCTATGTAAATATCCACATGGACTATGAATACATAAAAATATACCATATGTGTGCATACCAGATATCAAATTCTTACATATTTTAAATATACACATATGCTACTCTGGTTATACAGCATAAATTTATTTCAAAACATGATTGAATTCAAAGTAGCTTTTTGTCATTCTGTACTTAAACATAAAATAGGAATCCTATCATATTAGCGTCTTTAAAATTTTTTTTTAAGAAAAATGCTACTTGTGCTTAAAAAACAAAATGTTGGAGACTACATTTGACTGTCCTCTCCTTCCAACAGATGGCATATCTAAGCCTGTAATGACAAACTAGAGACAAAACAATGTTGTTGGTACATAGTAAGTCCTCAGTATGTATTAACTATAATTACTTTGTATTGCTTTAAAATACTTTTTCCTCTTCCCTAACTTCTTAAGTAACACAAAATGGAATGTGAAAGGGAACTCTTTGGTGAGACAGATTCCAGTTCAACATCACCATATTAGTCAGGGTTCTCTAAAGAAACAGAACCGATAAATACATACATACAAACATATATATATATAT